GACCTTCAACAAGTTAGTTAACCTCTCAAGGCCTCAGTGTTGTTAAAGAAATAAAATGAATGAATAATGCCTCACTTGTAGTTAGTTGTGAATATAAATGAAATAATAGAAGTAAAGTACCTACATCATATATGTAACATAGTCATTGTTTGGTAAATGGTGGTTATTATTGTGAAAAGTAACTCAAAATACTCTGAGGGTGTGGCTCACAGTTTTCAGATCCATAAAGACTAATTTTTGTGCCTAACATTTCAGGGCATTATATTGCAGTAGTTTAGGGAAAGATATATGATTTTTGTGTAACAGCTTTTAATGGTCTTCACATTATGGAGAAACAATTAACTTGTATATAAGTTCACTGTGGCAGAGATCCCACTTACAACAATTGCTAACATCTATTTAGTGTGGGATGATTAGTGTTATTCTTCAGAGTAAATATCATGACTTGATATCCTCTCAAAGTGTGTATTATATTATCACCCAATGCTTACTTTCTTAATTAAAAATATTAAATGCAAATGCTTGTCTAATTTTCTAGACTCAAATAGAATTTTTAGGTGATTGAAGTGGGAAGAACAAAATTGGTAAAAAATTTGCTTCGAATTTAGAGAATGTGTTCACTCAGAAGACCAAAGGCATCTTTTCTTTTAAATGTTCTTTTTTCTTTTCCTTCTAACACTACTAGTTTGTTTTAAGAAGTTAAGAATTCTTGCAAAGAGCCTTATAAACACGTGTTATTGGATTTTAAATCTGATTTGAAAGTGCCTCTCTCCTACTCCCTCTGAGTAAAGTGACCTTTTTAAATGGAGGGAAGTGGGTTTAGATGACAGTCATGATAAATGCGGTCATGTTCACTCAATAAAATAAGGCCCAGTGCATTTGAGGATAAATCAGTGAAATGTACAGCCCCACCTGTCTGTCTCCATCATTCATTTCCACTGTCACTTTCACAGTGGCTGATGGATCACAGTTGCTGTAAAATTAGACAGCCTTTAATCTCATTTCATCCTGATTAGCTTCTCTTTACCCTTTCCCTCTAACTCACTGACTGACACGCTAAAAACTCACACTGGGCTGTATATGAACATAGAGTACAAACTTCTCCTCGAATACCTTCTTGGGAGAGAGAGAGGCAATTGTTCATTCACCTCTGGAGAAATCTGGAAAGGACCAGGCGTGTATTTGTCGTTATTTAAAAGACCATCAAAAAGCATTGCATCCATGCCAGCTTAAGCAAGTTTACTCTCGATCAGTGCCCTATTTATTTTACTTTCCTTAGGATTTTATCAGAAGTCAAATAAATTAGGTCTTCCACAAAACTCAATTATCAATTTAAAATAATTTTTCCCTAATAATTTGAGAGAATTTTACACTTAGAAAAATTTCAAAGAGCTTTGTGTACATTTCTAGACACTCAATTTATAGTAGTACGAAATGACAATAATTCAGAAGTAAGAATAGTGGAATTGTCAAGAGATATAGCATGCAGTTTTAAAACAAAAGTAAAAATGTATACACAAATGAAAATGCTTACAAGCAGCCTTCATATTAGGACTTCTGTTATTTTATATTAACACCTTTTTTATATTAACTTTATATTAACCCTTCTTTATATTAACACCTTCTTTTGCTCTTATATTTGGAAGGGTTCAATAGTTAGTGTGTATGCAGCAATTTGTTTGGATAAAACATAACAGAGTAATCAAATGAGAAAAAAGACTTAAAAATAAATCATGTATTATTTCCTTCACTTTAATTTCTGCTTGCCTAAATGGGAGCACATGAAAGAGAAGACCAACATGCAAGTGTAGCTATATTTTTAGAAGATTATGCTTTGTTACAAGGCTGGATTTCTAATTAAAATCAAGGTCCTGGTGTGATGCTGTAGGGTAAACACTGGACTACTAATACTAACTACAAGGCCTGCCATTCAAACCCACCAGTTGCTCCTTGGAAACCTTACACAGGGTCGCTGTAAATCGGAACTGACTTGATTATGCTTGAAATATGTGTATGTGTGTGTGTGTTGTTTAGTGCCATCAAGTCAATTCCAACCCATAACGATACTGTATAGAGTTTCCAAGGAGCAGCTAGTGAGCTTGAAACACCGACCTTGCAGTTCAAACAACTTTGCAGTCTGAAGCATTAACCCACAGTGCCATGCCAAGACTATATATATATATATATATATATATATATATATATATACAATTGATAATTGTTTCAGGCATTGAATTGACCAAAAGTTGAAAATCAATACTCATAATCAAAGGATGGTGGTTGTAAAGTAAGTTGGTTATAGTTGATGACCTCTATTTCTATACTCAACGTCTTATGGTGAATCTGATGCGTCTGAAGTGAAAACTGATACTGAATAAGCTTACACAGACACCAAATAGATAGCACCAGACGAGATAGCACAAAATGGGCAGCCCAGTTTTGATTTGGGTGTTTTGCGACTAGCATCATAATTCAAACAATGATTAGTTTCTCTCTCTGTTTTTAATATGCCCAAGAACCCCTGCATGACATGAAGGGCTAAGTGCTTGACTACTAGACAAATAGTTGGCAGTTCTAACCCACCCAGAGGCACCTCAGGAGATGACAGCCTTGGCAATTTGCTTCCAATAGGTCTCTGTCTTGAAAACCAATGGAACAGTTCTAGTGTGCACACATGGGTGCCATGGATCAGTACCAACTCGAAGGCAGCTAACAAGAACAAGGGAGACCAAGGTGCAGGAGATGGGACCAAAGGAGTCGTTTCAGATTTTAACACTGGGGAGAAAAAAAGACATTCAAAACATGTTCAACTTTAGTTGTTCAATGACCCTAACATATACTCTACCCCAATGGATTCTGTATAGCCAATCCTGTAGAGCCTATATGGTTAAAAGCATTCTCCAAAGCAATAAACTGAGGATCAGAGATGACTTTCTAAGTAAGCTGGCCTAATTATTGTGTTATTGTCTAGTGCCTTTGAGTCAGATCTGACTTATAGCGACCCTGTATAGGGTCTCTGAGGCATGACTAGTGAACTTGAACCATCAACCTTGCAACCTTCCAGTCTAGCACATAACCTGCAGTGCCACACCAGACTTAACTATAGAGAGCACAAACTCACTGCCCACCCAATTTCTACATTATCCAAAAAATCCAGGGTTTGCATACCAGTGTCAAAACCATACATATATATATATATGTCAAATCAAATTTATAAATTTTGCATATGTTGCTATTGTTGTTAAGTGCCGTCAAGTTGGTTCCGACCCATAGTGACCCTGTACAGGGTTTCCAAGGTTGTAAATCTTTATAGGAGCAGAAAGCCTCATCTTTCTCCCACAGAGTGGCTGGTAATCTTGAACCACTGATCTTAAGGTTTGCAGCCTGATTCATAACCACTACACCCCAGAGCATCCAGCTGAAATGACATATACTGCATATATTTTATGGTGAATGTTCTCTTTCAGCATCTGCACCAAGGCAAACTATAGAAAATTGTTGTATCTGTTCACTCTAGGAAATTTTAAAGGAAAACAATCCAGGTCACCCTGTAAGAACATTTTTTTTTAAGAGAGGGGACATTCTTTTTCAAGACCCACATTTTGCATATACAAAATCAAAACTCCTAAAGCCATTTAGTGAGAAGCTCAAATTATCTGATTTTGCTTTTTCAAAAATTGTTCTAGATTTCAACCCTATGCCGGTTTCTTCTTGTTTTTATTGACATATCCTAGCCTGCATAAGTGCATTCTGAGAAAAATAAAATAGAATAAAAACAAATTAGAAGAGGAAAAGATATCACCCAGAAGTACTGAGGTAGGCTCTCTCTCTCTACCCTCTTCTTTCTCTCTCAGCATTGGCAAAAGAGCACAGAGTAAGAGCTGGCCCTGACTCATATTGATTTCCCACTGCACTGGTTTCTTAAGTGCTCTGCTGATCCGTGTCAAGCAATAAGTTCCCTGCCTGAACATGCACATCACCTCCCCATTTGTCCTCACCTAGATTTAAGGTGCCCATATGATGAGCTGAACAAGGACATCATTTTTCCTACTGGTGTCACTGGGTCCAAACCACTGCATGTGATATGATAACTAATGCTGTGTAAGTTTACATTTACCATATGACATTATAATAGCAGAGACTAGCACAGCACACAGGGTGACAGGGAAAGCCGACTCCAGTACTGTGTGTCTCCCAAAAGGAAACAGCAACGGGAAGAAATCTGAAGGGACCTAGCTTTAATGTTTTTCTAAACAATGCCCCCTCCTCACAGCCACCACACTTGGTCAGGGAAAAGAGAAAGACGAGGAGAATGGAAATTTGTGATGTGCCTGACAGTTTTTATCTCTGTTACAGAAGAGCTCCTAACCAGATAGATAGAAAATGTGTGATTGTGCTGCTAATGACATTGTACAGGAAATTAAGCGTATACATTTGGAGGAGGCATTAAATCAGCAGGACCTTAATTTAAAAACTTAAAACTGTATGGAAATTCAGCTTGCTCATGGCTGTGGAATAGAAAGCTCCCAAACTCCCTGATTCTGCTTCTGGAAAGATTGCCAGCAAGCCAAGTTGAGGCAGAGCATCTTAATGGCTCAAAGTGTATTCAAGGTAACTTCTTCCAAGAAGTAACCCCAGTCCTGACCATATGCGAGTGCCAGTCATTGTTTCAGAATGCCATCTATATCACCAGGCAGGTGAGCAGAATGTAAGAACTGAAAACAGCATAACTGGTTGTTCTTGACTAATTTGTGGAATACATTATGCAAAACTAATCAAAAGGGGTTGGGATTGAAGCTGCTGAGAACACACCACTGCACCATGGAGTCAAGGTCTCTGGATTGGTGGGTGCCCTGCTCTAATGCTTAGGCTCCCTTTTTCCTCTTGACTTAAGTCTCATATTTTCAACATTTTGCTGGAAGCAATTAACTAGTGAGCCTATGTATGAAGTTCTAAGTTGGAAAACTTGATACATCTTTTTTTCTTCATTTTCATTCCAGTTATGCCATACAACAGTGCCCACCACTGTGTTGTGGAGGTGGAAAACTTCTTGTTTGTGCTGGGTGGAGAAGACCAGTGGAACCCCAATGGTAACTATTGAACAACTTCATTCCAGGTGCTCAATCAGTACGTGTGTAACAAGAGTCCTTTGTAATGTGCCATTTTGTAACGACTTGGGAAAATATTTATCTGTGAAGCTGGGATGCATGATCTGATGGCAGTGAATTGAGCTGACAACTGGAGGGAGGGTCACTCACTGAGTGAGCAGAGGACATATGCAGCCGAACATTCTCTCATTGACTGTCTGGGGATTTGACTTGCCAATGACGTCCCAGCCTCTCTCCTTATCCATCCCCTGAGGAATGCCACACACATAAGCACAAACTCCCAAGAGAAAGGTATCAAGCTGCTGCCATTAAGAATTCTAACCACCTTCTCCACCACTTTTCTCCCATTGTGTCAGTACAATAATGTGATTGCAATAAATAAGCATTGTCTCCAGTCATTTTAGCAGAAGTTATCTTTGCAGCTTTTATTACTTAAGACCCATTCTATTTGCTCTACCTTTTGAAAACACCTCTTCCACAGATTGTCCAGGATTGTTTCCATTGATGGGCTCACTTCATAAATTTATCACAAAGATAAACTAAACACTTTAACCCACTTCCCAAACCAACCACAGGGAGAACACAGCCTTGCAAAACACACAAAATTATCAAGATATTTTTGGAAAGCTTGCACAGCAAGGAGGAGTTGCGGTTGTAGCCTTCTGTGTAACAGAGATAATTATGACTGAGAAACCATAAAACAGCTTGCAGGTACACATTTTTACTTTAAAACCCCAGAACATCCAGCTGAAATTACATATACTGCATATATTTTATGGTGAATGTTCTCTTTGAGCATCTGCACCAAGGCAAATTATAGAAAATTGTTACATCTGTTCACTCTAGAAAATCTTAAAGGAAAACAATCCAGGCCACCCTGTAAGTACATTTCTTTTAAGAGAGGGGACATTCTTTTTCAAGACCTACAGCTTTGTTTCCAAGAGTCCTGGTGTGGTGCTATAGGATAAACTCTGAACCTAAAGATCAGTTTGAACAGCAAGGTTGGCAGTTCAAACTTATTAGCCTTGGAAACTGACTTAACATTTAACAACAACAACATCTTTCAGTATAGGAAAAGAGATGCTTCCTTTGCTTTGTGAGAAACAGATTTGAAATAGGAGCAAGAGTGATAATGAATATTCCTCCTTAAACTTACCTTTGAAATGATAGGTATGATGGGTTACCAGAAAGCTCTAGCATATATCCAATCTGCTGTCAAGTCTTCACTTGCTGTCTAACTTCCCCATCCTTGAAAGTAATTTGAACTGAATAACGCGTATGCATGGCATAAGCAGTCATTGTGTGTATCAAACAAAGAATCTGCAGAACATTCTTTTTGAAGGTCAGATTCAAAACCCAACATGACAAGAAACAGCTGGAAAGTTCCAATTCTGATGAGAGTACGCTGTCAGTCCATCTAACAAGGTGGAGTTATGGTGGAGCTGGTTGTGTGCCATGGTGTCGTCAGTGCTGACAAAAGCAGAAAGTCACATCGTTCTCCCTGGTAGCAGCTGGTAGATTTGAACTGCTGATCTTAAAGTTAGCAGTCCAACTCGTAACCCACTAAACTACCAAGGCTGTTAAGGTGAAATAGTAGATGTTATTGTTTAGTACCATCGAGTTGGTTCTGACTCATAGCAACACTGTATAGGGTTTCCAAGACTTTAAATCTTGGAAGAAGCAGAAAGCCTCATCTTTCTCTCACTGAGCAGCTGGCAGGTTAAAACTGCTGACCTTGTGGTTCGAAGTCCAGTGCTTATCATATGGAGAAGGCACTATTAAACTACCTGTCTTTTCTGTTTCCACAAAACTCTATGAACCTCCCATTCCTCTGAGATTGAATGGCAACACAGAAAACCTGCCCTTCCAGGCCTGAATTGATTGAGGGAAAGAGGGGAGAATTTTAAGGAAATACCTGTTGTAAACTTTTGGTCTTGTCATCAAGATTATCAATAAATAATGAGTTTTCATTTCTATAGTTTAGGTTCTATTTTTGAACTAATTCAGACCCTTCCCCCATGAAACTGTGCACTTCAACCACACTGATTTGCCTCCTCCCATCATCAGTTCAAACCCACCAGCTGCTCCTTAGAAATCCTATAGAGTCACTATGAGTCAGAACTGACTTAATGGCACTTTACAACAACAATAATTCTTGAGAGAGGAGTCTTGGTATGGTGTTGTGTGATGCTGTTGAATATGCACTGGACTACAAACCACAAGGTTGGCAATTCAAACCCACCAGCTGCTCATCAGAAACCCTATACAGGGTCTCTATGAGTTGGAACTGACTTGATGGCACTTAACAGCAACAACATTGCCGGGAGGGGATTCCTGGTGTGGAGCTGTAGAATCAGCACTGGACTGCTAACCAGAAGGTTGATTGTTCAAACCCATCAACTGCTTCTTGAAGACTTATACACTGAGTCAGAACTGACTCGATGGCATTTAACAACAATAATAAAGCCAAGCAACCATCCATGAAGGACTTCTAGTCCTTCTCACTCCCTTTCCCTTTACTACTGGCTGGAAAAAAGTATCCCAGCCCCATCTCTCACATCACCCAAGTGCTAGTTAACAATGGTGTCTGGTGACTGGGCATCACAAGAAAAGGAAAGAAATGGGACATGAATCAGAAATAAAATGAAAAAAATGAGCAAAAACTGGAATGCAGAGCAATCTTAAAACTCTTGCATCTGACCTTCACTCTGAAGCTCGTAGAAGAGTCTCGGAATAAACCACAGGAAGAAAAGAATAACCCTCATATTCTCACACCTTCCTCACTTCATTGTACTCACTTCTTCTGAGGTTCATTATTCACCCTGTACTTCTTTTGCCACCTCCACAGCTTCTTCCTGCTTTCTATTTTCCCGGTTCTCAGTCCTCACCCCTCTTCATACCACTGACCTTACTTCTGCAAAACCTTTCTTCATCTCACATCCATTCCACCCCAGTCCCTTCTTAGACTTTTCTCTGGGCCAAGACCATTTCCATTATGGCCAGAAATAAATATTGCTAGTTTCTACCATCACAGCTCAGCATGTGAAGGCACTTACTACCTCAGTGTTGGAAAGATGCAGATGTCTTCTTTCAAATGGAAATTCTAAATCAAAATTCATAGCGATGTTCTTATACATAGTAGGTAATGCTGCATTCCTACTAACAGCACTGATTTTCAGATGTGTTTGGAAATGAACATTGGAACCTAACTATCAAGGATCATATTGTTTTTATGGTTAAACAATTACTAATTATACAAAAACTCATTCACAGGCCCATTCCAAACATAATCCTTCTTTAGTTGGATCCTATATATGTGAACACTAAGACCAGTGGCACACTTATCCTTTCTGCACACTCTAAGTAATACTCAATTTATCAGCAAGGATGATCCCTGGAGGGGAGCACAGTGGCTCCGTAGGATAAGCTCTTGACTACAGACATAAAGGTCAGCGGTTTGAGCCCACCAGTTGCTCTTGGGGATAAAGATGAAGTTTCCTACTCTCATAAAAATTTGAAGGTTGAAAGAACCCCTATGCAAGAATCATTATGAGTCAGATCCAACTCAACAGCACTGTTTATTCACATTTCATATGCCTCACGCATTTCACATACCACAGCATTGGAGGCAGGTGGCATTTCTCCTTCTTCTTGATCGTCACTTCCAAACACCTGGATCACTGTCTTTTTCTCTAGCACACCTGCCATCTTGCTGATGACAACATCATCCAACACATTAAACTCTCTGTTCTTTCACAGTTCCCTTCCACCCCACTTCAAGCCCCATTCCCAAGTCAAACTTAAAGTGTTGTCATTCTCACTTACTGCACTGCCTGCCAAATCTCCAATTTGATCATGAGCACTAACCAACACCTCCAATATCTCTAATATTTTTTTTTTCTAGTCCTTTTACTCCACAAACTTTTCTTCCTCTCTTTACTGTGTTTAGAGTCTATGATCAATGCCAACAATCACTGTAATGCATACACCTGTATATGCCCCTCTTCGTAGTGTACTTACTTAGCAAAGCCCCAATCTGGTTAAATCCAATTAATTTCCACCTCTTCCCTGTCCTTGAGCATCTAAATGTAGGTATATAAAAGCACACATCAACCCCACCTGAATTTAGAGACCTTTCAATGACGAATTGACTAATTTTGTCAGTGATTGAAGACCAGAGGAATTGTGGGATGACATCAAGAACATCATACATGAAGAAAGCAGAAGGTTATTTAAAAACAGGGAAGGAAAACCAAACCAAAACGGATGCCAGAAGAGACTCTGAAAATTGCTCTTAAATGTGGAGAAGCTAAAGTGAATGAAAGAAATGATGACATAAAAGAGCTGAACAAAGATTTCAAAGGGCAGCTTGAGAAGACTAAGTAAAGTATTATAATGAAATGTGCAAAGATCTGGAGTTAGAAAACACAAAGGGAAGAACATGTTCACCATTTCTCAAGCTGAAAGAACTGATAAAAAATTCATGCACCAGGTCACAAGACAGAAGGATTCTGTAAGCAAAATACTAAATGGCACAGAAATAATCCAAAGAAAATGGAAGGAATGCACAGAATCACTGTACCAAAAAGAAATGGTCCATGTTTAATCATTGTGATCAAGAACCAATAATACTGAAGCCAATAGCAAAAATAAGACTCCAGGAATTGACAGAAAACAAATTGAAATGTTTCAACAAATTGATGCAGCACTGGAGACACTTATTCAGCTATGCCAAGAAATTTGTAAGACAGCTACAAAATGGTCAACCAATTGGAAGACATCAATATTTGCACTCATTCCAAAGAAAGGTGACCCATTAGAATGTGGAAATCATCAATCAATATAATTAATATCACATGAGCTAAATTTGTTCTGAAGATAATTTTTAAAACTATTGCAACAGTGCATTGATAGGGAGTTGCCAGAAATTCAAGCCAGATTCAGAAGAGGAAATACAATGAGGGATATCATTGCTTTACTGA